AAATTCTTTATAGTGATCTTACGTGTGCTCTGCAATTAACAAATGCTACCTCATATTTTGCTCCTGGAGTCACTTATCTGGTTTTCTGTGAACATGTAATGAAAAGGAGCCAATTGCTATAATAATTTAAAAATATCTTTGCCTTGAACAAAAGTCTGAAGATTTCACAACAGAACATTCCAAATCTGGCTTCTGCCAGAGATTGGCCCAAATTCCGAATCTTGTTTCCTTTTCTTTTAACAATTCTTTAAACCCTTAAACACTAGGGTGCAGATATCGCTCATACTGACCAATTCAACAAACATTTCCCTTTTTACACAGCACTGTGACCTATACTCAGGTACAAAGATGAATAAGAAATGCTCCTTGTCCTCCATAGTAGTCATGGCTAGCAAAAATTTCCAACCACGCATGTATGCCTCTGGGAATGCAGGGAGGCTTCCGAGCAGTGCTTAGGGTTGAACACTGTGCAGAGCCCATGCTTAGGCCTGCCCATTAGCCTGCCTGGAATGGACCAGCAAGACTATCAAGCCAAAGTTCCCCTCCTCCAGCCTGTTCACACAATCAGCCTTCTCCATCTTACAGAAGACAGGCATCCTCTTACCTATTCTGAGGCTTAACCATTAGAAATATCAAAATGTCTCCTCCTTCACTTGAGGTTCCAGAGTCCCACCCACGTTGGTGTCCCAAGACAACTGCCAATAACTCTGATTGCTTAGCATAATTTTTTTCAAATTTGCAATATTCCAGTGCTTTTAAAGGCCAGTTAGGTACTAATAACAATTACACTATAAACTCAATCTCAAAAACTATTTCATTCTTATAGGCCCAAATTAGGGAAATCTTTTAAATTAGAATTTCAGCTTATAGCCCTATTTTTGTTGCAGAGAATTGTGATAATGTTCTAATAGAAGATTTCACAGATATAAATATATGCCATTAAACTAAAATTCTGGGACTTGAAGAGATGGCCTAGTGGGTAAGTGCACTTGCTATGTGACTAGAAGGACCTAGAAGTTTGAATTCCTAGCACTGAGTGAAAAGCTGGGTGTGGTAATACATGAATCTAACCCCTAGCACTGGGGGTAGGAGGAGGCAGAGACAGGAGGCTCTAGGAGCTTGATGACCATCGGCCTAGCTCCAGGCTCAGAGGGACTTCTTGAACTAAGACAGACAACAATAAAGACAAATATCCAGTGTCCTTCTCTGGCCTCAACATGGGTACAAGCACAAGTGCACACACACACACACACACACCCATATAAAGAAGCACACACATACATACATAGGTGCACACACATATATAAAGCACATACATATATGCACAGGTGCATACACATACACCCACAGGCACATGCCACACACTCACACTCACACACACACACACACACACACATAAAAATCAGTAAGTAAATAATAAAGCTCTATGAGGAACAGACTGAAAATGAAAGGTCCAGGCCGGTGGCTTAGCTCATAAGCAGAGCATATGCCTAGCTTGGCATGGGTGAGATCTTGGGATCAAGTCCCATAATCAAGAAAGGCAAGAGAATGGCAGCAACAGCGGTAAATCTTTGGTTTAAATTTCTGACTTAAATAATGCATTATTCATGTGCTTTTTTTTTCAAGGAGAAATGAACGGGCATTAAAAGTAAATGGTATTTTGATTCCCTGAATACATTTAATATGCAAAAATATGGTGTTGAAATGCTAATGTTTACAAATAAGCAGGGCATAACTGAATGACTTGCATTTTTAGATATCAATTCTGGAAAGTGAGGGCAAAATTAAATCTAATTATAGGTATTTGTGAGCTTATAAAGCTCTAGCTTCTGGGTGCTTAGATACAGCAGCACAGAGAAAATTCTTAGGAGGCAGTGAAAAGCATGTGCATAGTCCCAGGTTTTAATGCAGGCAGGCATGAGTCAAAGATGTTCCTTATCTAGTCACAAATGGCGTGCCAGCCTCACAGGTTATTATACCTGAGGTATGAACATGCAAGGGTCATGCGAGGGCTAAACAAGGTTAAATAAAGTACTTGGCCCGAGACACTGCAGGTGTGCCCTTCACTTCACTGCCCTCTATCCCTTACTCTCTTGAAGGCAGATGAGTGGCCCTGATCCCTACAACATCCTGACCAAACTGTTGTTTGTATAAGACTCTTTCACATGAGTCTGTGATCATTGTGGTGCAGGCTCCCCAGCCTGCTCAGTCTCCTCTCATTCCCTTGGTACTCCTATACAAATACACTTCAGCAGCAAATTCCCTAAGTTTCCTCACAGTCCATCTGAAGAAGATCGTTAATGAAGATGTTAAGTCAGGCTGGCATACAAAACACTGCCTAAGGCCAGCCTCCTGACGCTCCTATTCCATTCAACAGAGATGTAGTGTCATTTGTCATTAGGTCTTGTTACAATTTTTTGGCCCCTTGAAGAACTCATGTGAGGTAGCTCGTGTCTATATCTGCTTGACTTAGTCTGGCAAGTGGACTCATGAGCGACTGAATTAAATGTCACTGCAGGATTGAACATCTGTTACATCATGCTAACCTATCACTCTCCCTCCTCATAAATCTTTACAATCAGAACAAATTTGTCTAGTACATTACTTATAACAAACATTCTCTTTTGTTGAGCATGGCTCATGCCCAAAAGGAAATAATAGACCAGTGGGTGAAAGTAATAAAATTTCATCACTGGTTCAAACATGATCAAGTGGTAAATAAAAATAACAACTGCTTGGCAAGAGAGAAGCAATTGCAAAACACAGTCTCTCTGAGGATGGGCTTAAAGAAGTATCTCACAAAGCTTGTCACAACAGAGTCCTGGGGAGATTTAAGAAGCAAGAATAGGTGTATTTTCCTTGAACTTTTGTGTAAATATGGTGTGTGTGTGTGTGTGTGTGTGTGTGTGTGTGTGTGTGTGAGAGAGAGAGAGAGAGAGAGAGAGAGAGAGAGAGAGAGAGAGAGAGAGAGAGTTTCAGAGGACCCTGGATTGTGTCACTTGCAGGGGCCCTCCTTCTATTTGCTAAAAACAAGTTGGAGATTCTGATTTGTTTTGATCTGGTTAAGCTTTTTTTTTTTTAGAAGTTATCTGGGAAAAGAAATCTCAGTTGAGGAAACGCCTCCATCAGATTGGCCTGTAGGCAAGTCTTTAGGGCATTCATTGATTAATGATTGCCGTGTAAGAGCCCAGCTCACTTGGGGGCAATACTACTCCTGGACACGTGGTCCTAGGTGAGCTGAGAAAGTCAGCTAAGCACACTACCGGGAGCAAACTAATAAGCAGAGTTCTATGGCCCCTCTTCAGTTCCCATCTTCGGGTTCTTGCTCTGACTTCCCTCAGTGAAGGGCTGTAAGTTGTAAGATAAGATAAACCCTTTTCTCCCAGTTGCTTTCTGTCATGGTCTTTGCCACGGTAAGAGGAAGCAAACTAGAACAATGGTTATCCTTGCTTCGGTCCCTTCCTAATTTTTGAACTGTGGTGAAATACACCTTCTCAACACTCTGAAGGATATGAGTCAGTGGTATTGAGTGCAGCTATAGTCTGCTCCCCTGGTGTGCTTAGCTGGCTTTCTCAGCTCACCTAGGACCACACACCCAGGAGTGGCACTACCCCCAAGTGAGCCGGGCCCTTCCACGTCAATTAATAATCAAGTGCAGCTATAATTATATACAGCCATCATAACCCTGTGTCTCTAGAACATCTTATAAAACTCTATATCCATTCTATATCCAGGAGCTCCCATCCTCCTGTAACCTCCCATCCTGCCAACTACTGTCCCTCATTCTGTCTCTGCAACTGTCATTATATAAGGCACCTCATGTAAATGAAATTGAACAGTTTTCTTTCGGTTTTAAATAATGTTATCTTTTATATTTTTATCAACTTAAAATTGCTCTTAAAATAGTACAGGGGCCAAGCTTGGTGGCATACACCTATAATCCTGGAACTCAGCAGGTCAAGGCAGGAAGATTGATAGTTAAAGGCTAGCCTGGGCTAAATGTTAACTTCAAGGACAGCCTGTGAATGCTGTGAGACTCTATTTTAGGAAAACCAAAAACAGAAAGAAAAAGAAAAACTTACACTAAAAGTAAATTCAAGGGAGAAGCTAAACATAGCTGATGCTCCCCAAAAGCGAGAGGTATCAAAATAACCGGACAAGGGAGCAACTGTAGACTTCATTTCACAGACTTCAAAGGCTAAAATGTCAAGATGCTCATCATGACGGTTGACAAAGCTATCCCCCTTAACAGTGGTTCTTAAACCTTAGTGAGCATAGTGAGCATAAAAATTCATTCCTGGTGGCTGCAGAGATGGCTCAGCAGGTAAGCTCATACCGCTCTTGGAGAAGACAGTCTTAACAGTAGAATCCAGTGGCTTATAACCACCAGTAACTCCAACTCCAGGAGATCTAATGCCCTCTATGACCTCCGAAGAATTCATGTGCATGTATGTATGTGTATACATATATACACACATACACACACACACACAATCTTTTGTTAGAAGAACCACCAACTACCCAATAAGCAAAACAATATTGAATGGAACTCAGAAGTCTGCTGTGTTACCCAAGGCCATGGGAGTCTGGATATTGGAGGATCTTACCAGCTACTGTCAACACAGCAGATTAGACCAGAAGTTGTAACAACTTCCTCTGCATGGTTTGATCAACCAATCTCAGATTTAAGTCAGCACTGCAGAGCGCTGACACCTATTACAACCTGTTCCAACTGCTTCACTCTGCTCTTCATGCGTAGGATCACCTGAGGGAGCTGTAGGAAGCAGGGACAGAGGCTTGTGTTATATGGAACAGAATTAGTCAACCTAGACTCCAAGGGACATCACTGCAGCCTGAGGATGAGGCCTGGGGCTTTTCACTTTGGTTTTCTTTCCTGGGCCTTTGGAAAGAAACATTGGCTGTCCCCAAGGTGTACACAACTGTGAAGATTGTTATCTAGCTCTTCTCCCCTTTGTAGCTTATGTTTTCTTTCTTTCTAGAATATGTCTGTGCTGGAGAATCACCACTGGCGATCGACAATCGGGATGCTTCGGGAGTCACGGCTTCTTGCTCACTTGCCAAAGGAAGTGACGTAAGTGCTCTAGAGCTGCAGCAGACTGGTGTGCGCTCGGTAAAGATAAGTCACGTTCTCCAGGGTGTGCTGAGGACCCTGCATCAGTAGCAGGGAGCCAGCTGCTGGGTTTCCTGCCCTCACTTAATTGGCCAGCCAGAGATTCGGTGTCAGGTACCAAAACCTAGAAGCCAGAATCTCTGTGCATTTTGAAATGGCCTCAGATGGTCAGTGACCTAAAATCAGAGGAAAGGATAATAAACATCCCTCTGCTTTCACACTCTTCAGCAACAAGGCTCTACTCTGCCAAATTCCTATCCCTTATGTTAGCAAAACCGTCCTCCCATTTAGATACAAAGAATAAATATTTGTCAAGAAAGACAATAGGAATTTGCAAACTAGATTAAGGACTAGTCCAGTTAAGTGTGCTTTATCACTGCCAGTCTCCAGGCAAAGGAGGAGTCAGAAATGCTTCATTAAGCTGTGTGTAACCAATTACTATATTTCTAGCAATTTGAAAGCTGAGGCAGGAGGATCACTGTGAGACTGGGGGCAGCCTGGGCCACAGAGAAAAACTCCTTTTCAAAAAATAAATAAATAAGACAAAATAATTAAATGGATTTGTCAACTGACTTGGCCAGACATTTTTCTATCATTGATCTGCTTAATGTCTTTTGGGTTTTGTTTGTTTGTTTGTTTGTCTTTTTATTTATTTACATTTTCTAAGACAGGGTTTCTCAGTGCAGTCCTGGCTGTCCTGGAACTTGCTCTGTAGACCAGGGTGACCTTGACCTTGACTTCTGCCTCCCAAGTGCTTGAATTAAGTCTACACTACCTTGCCCAGCTAGTCTTTGCCTTTTAAGCAGAAAATATTTCTTTTCACAGTCTACTGTTTGTCTGGCCTGAATCTTACTCGTATTTCTCATGGCCCCAACTTAACCAAAACACTGTTTACAACACCACCACTAATTCTGATCTCTTTTATGGAAAAGTATAGGACTCAAGGGAGGTAGGTGCATGACAAAATCAACCATTGTTACAGAGTGATGTTCTGCTATCAGACAGGCAGTATTCTCTGCGCTCTTAAGTTTTTGGGGGGACCTCTATGCATTTCACATGAATCCCCAGCTCTGGAAAGAATGTTCAGCTTACAGGAGGAACTGAGCTCTTTTTAACCCTCTGGAAATTAAAAAAATAAATAAATAAAAATAAAAACAGGAAGGAGGGTGAACAGAAAAAGAATATAATGAGGAATAATTGGGACAGAAGCAGAAAAGGACCCAGTGTGACCAACCTTCCCCAAACCATCCCACTAACCCTTGCTGTTTCAGTTATAACCCTCACACTCACTCACACTCACACTCACACTCACACACTCACACTCACTCACACTCACACACTCACACTCACTCACACTCACTCCCACGGACTGCACTAAAATACCATTTATCTCTGAGCTACAGTGTCTTTGTGAGATACTGTGTTTCGAATTGCACTTGCTGGAAGATTAATCATTACACAGTAATGATCGTGAACAGACTTTGTAACAAAACTTATACTCATCATTATTAGCTTTCCTACCCTCAAGGAAGTCATTTAAGGTTATTTTTCTGACCTTTAAAAACCTGATACATTAAATGTGGAAATTACAGAAACTTGAGAAAAGTACTCATTTGAACAATAATGAGTTGTTGCTTTTGAAGAACAAAATAGTAGACAGAATACTGACAGGCTTACATAGTTCAAAGAAGAAACACACAAGCACTGGTGACCCCTTCTATGAGGACAGTCAGTGTTAGCCCTGCAGCTTTGTCTCCTGTCAGTTTTAAAAATACTGAAAATGCAACCACATCTTAACAAAATGCAAGGCGTTTGCAGGCTCTGTTGTTCTCTTCAGGTTTTTGTTTTGTTTTGTTTTGCTTTGCTTTGCTTGCTTGGTTGTATGTATACTATGTGGATTCAAGTAGACTCAGAGGCCAGAAGAGGATGCAATTACTGGAGCTAGAGTTAGTTATAGGCACTCATGAGCCTTCCGGTACAGGTGCTGGGAGCCAAACTCAAGTCCTCGGCAAGAACAGCCAGTGCGCTCGACCACTGAACATTTCTCCATCCTTTCTGTTTAGATTGTTTGAGACAGGACCTCATGCTGCAACCCAGGCTGACTTCAAACTCACATCAATTCTCTTGCCTCAGTCTCCCAAGTGGAGAGATTAAGGGACCAGGTGTGATTATGGTCACCACACCTGGCTTGCATTATACTGTCCAGCCTAGTAGTGTACATTTACAAAAAAGGCTTTTTCTACATCATCAGTGAGTTACAGGAATTTTCTACATCATCAGTGAGTTACAGGAGTTATTATGCTCACTATTTGTCAATATTGTATCCAAATAGATGTGATTGTTCACCATTGTCGGGAAATGAGTGGTCTCCAAATTATTTCATTATAAATAACATGTTTTATTTTTATAATAAAATAAAAATAAAAGGAAACATAAAACTAGTGTTGTATTGTGCTTAAGACAGTAATCCATCGATATCTGTCTGATAAAAGCTTTAAAGTAGTTCTCGGTGAGTTTTCAAGGTGCCCATCAGATGTTTTGATTCTGATTTTACTTGTAGTTTGTAGTAAAAATATTAGAAATCCCAGTGCAGGGTTTCTACCTGCATTAGACCATTTATGTTTTTGGATGAAAGACACACATAGTATTTATATTTTTAAACATATCTTAGGCAGCACAATAGTTGGACAACTGCCTACCCTGCATGTTGTTAGAATCTACCTTCCTATGTATGACCCAAGTTATTACTTGCTATGTTTCATCTGGGCTGCTCTTAGTTCTAATTGGCCAGCCCACAGGCCACGTTTTTATGGCTCAGCTGATGCATGACAGCTCTCCTTTCTCCCCTCCTCTACATTCTTCCTTTATTATACTAACTTTTTCTTCATGGTGTTCTCCCTAAGGCTACAACAACCTCATCTCCACCTATGTCTCCTCTCCTCAGCTATCGACAGATGGCATTTTTATTCACCAATTAGAATTAACTTGGGAGAAGGTCCCAGGGGCTATGTGTAGACTCTAGGTTTTAGGGGCCTGCATTTATCATTACAATAGACAGTAAAAGACAAAGCCTCAACAATCCCCCTTCTAGTCCAATAACAACATGGAAGGTAGGCAGCTTCCCAGCTATTGTGCTGCCTAAGGCGTACTTAAAAATATAAAGGTTGTGTGTGTACTCTTCATCTGGGAAGCATTTTTATGGGGCATTTTTCATAGTAGTCAGAAACCGGAAGCAACTGAAGTGGTCATCAAACATGGGTTCGCATTACAGTAAATTAGAATACAGTACATTGATGAAAATTATGTATTAGAGACTACATGTCAGCACAATGAATTTGAAAACATAATATCAAGCCAAAAAGACAAGACATGAGCCAGGCGTGGTGGCATACTACTGAAATTCCAGCATTTGGGAGGTGGAGACTGAAAAGCCAGAGGTCAGCCTAGCTACATAGTACCGTAAGGCCTTATCTCGACTATATGAAATGCTGTCTCAAAACAACAAAAGAGGCAACATGCTCCAGTCATGTACGTATACCCATGTACATACTGGCAGCACCAACTGCACTCAAGTCAACCTAAGGGGGGGAGGAGCATAAAATCAAGAGGGAGGTAGGTCAGGGTGAAGGGGTCTGGGAAGAGCTGAAGGGAAGGGGGGGTATTCCAGTGAAAATACATTGTACACAAGTATGAAATTCTCAAAGAATAAAATTATGTTTAAAAATAAATAATACAAAGCCCAACTACAAAATGGGATGGCAAAATATATTAATAATGCCATATTATATATTATATTGTGCCATATTATATATCATATAACTTAAAAGTTTGAAAGTAGCTGAAGTTAAAGCATCTTGTTAAACATGCACAGTGACAAAATTATTTTAAGTAGAAAAAGGTCAAAGGGTAGTCACAGCAGGCTTGCTGGGGAAGCAGGGCATGGAGGAGGCAAGGGGATCCCCTAGGACACTGGCAGACAATGTTCCTATACAGGTATCTTGACTCATTAAATGGCACAGCCATGACCTATGCATGTGTCTTCAACACATTCCATTTCTTTTTTTTTTTTTGAGACAGGGGTTTTTTTTTTTTTTTTTTTTTGAGACAGGGTTTCTCTGTGTAGTCCTGGCTGTCCTGGAACTCACTCTGTAGACCAGGCTGTCCTCTAACTCAGAAATCCGTCTGCCTCTGCCTCCCAAGTGCTGGGATTAAAGGCGTGTGCCACCACCGCCTGACTAAAGCATTCCATTTCTACATGTGAACTTTAAACATAGTTACTGGTCAGTCCTCCCTCCTCCTGACTGATTTGTATGTGAGAAGCAAAGCTCTGACCTGCACTAATTTTGTAAGATGCCTGCTTCTCCTGTGCCATCTGTATGCTAACATGTCTTTCATGCCAGTTTACAGTGATGTCTCAGTCGCATGTTTTGCTTTTAAGTTCTATTGCCTTTTGCTGCCAGTCTATTTTGTATTGTTACTGACCCGTTCCATCCCGTACCATTTCCATTACCGTCTTCCAAATTATGATCACTAGTTCAGAAAGATGGATCACTGGTTAACAGCACTTACAGCTCTTCCAGAGAACTAGAGTTCAGTTCACAGTACTCACAGGGGCTCACAACCACCTATAACTTGAGCCGCAGAGAATCCAGTGCCCTCTTCTGCCCACTCTGGGTATTGTCATACCTGTGACATGACACACAGACACACACACATATACACATATACATAAATAAGAGTTTAAAAAAATAAATATTTTTAAACATTAAGACTATTGCTACCACCTTTTCTTTCTCTATGAACATCTTCACTTCAAGCTACTTTGAACCCTCAGAAGGCACAACCCAAACTCCTGTGATGTTTCTTCCAAGTCTTTTTGTGTTCCCCTTAAAGCATGTTTTTCTTTCTCACTCTTTCAAATTTCCACTGTGGGAATGTGTAATGAACACAACTTCATTCACATGAGGTTTCAGTCTCTCTGTGCAGCCCCGACAGAAGACTCCCTCTCAGGCTATGAGGGCCTGGGATGCTGTGTGATAAACACATTAAAGGCTACAGAGGCAAGCCACAGAGTGGTGCGAGAATCAAGCATCCTGAGTGGGATTTGCTGTGTGAACATGATTCTCTCTTTTGTTCTTGGGGATACAGACAGGATATTGAACAGCAGCTGGGCTCCCTGATCTTGGCCACAGACATCAACAGACAGAATGAGTTTCTGACCCGCTTAAAAGCTCACCTCCACAATAAAGATTTGAGACTGGAGAATGTACAGGACAGACACTTTATGCTTCAGGTAAGTAACAACAAAAGCCACCTAGCCTGGCCAAGTGAAAACACTTAGGGATGCAATCAATGATTTTAGCACGTTTGAGAAGGTGCTACAAGCTGTGGTAAAGTAAGAGTTGTGACCTACTTTGTTAAAAGCTCTGAAAGACATGTAGCTGTTAAGTGCTTTACAAACAAGCAAAAACAAGGTTTCAGAAAGTGGAAAATCTCTCAGTTTTTCCTTGTTTGGTAACTGCCTCATCACAAAGTAACCTCGATGGAAGGTTGCGTTTATCAGTAAGCATTCGACCCTTTGTCTTAGTTACTTTTCTATCACTGTGAAGAAAACATTTATATGGTGGCTTGCTTATAGTTTCAAAGGATGAGTCCATGACAGCTGTAGCAGGGAGCCTGGCAGCATGTACAAGCATGGCACTAGAGCAGCATCTGAGAGCTTACGGCTTGATACAGCAACTTGGCAGAGAGGGAAGGAAAAGGAGAAGGAGAGGAGAAGAGGGGAAGAGCGAGAGAAGAAGAGGAGGAGAGCAGGAGAAGGACACACCTTCTCCAATAAGGCCACACCTCCTAATCCTTCCCAAACAGTTCCACCACTGGAAACCAAGCATTCAGATATATGAGCATATGAGAGTCGTTCATTCTACTCCCCTGTATAGGTACTACTATTAAAAAAAAAAAAGTGCTAGAAATCACACATTGGAGGAATGGCCTTTACCAGGAATGCCACAGCAAGGGCCCCCTGCTCCTGAGCCACCTGTATCACAAGCATATACCATGTTTTATGCTATGATAGAAAGTTAATCAGTGTGACAGGTGCCACTGAAGGATTGCTTCTGTAACTTAAGAGGATCCTGTTAATCTCAGTGTCACCAAACCCTGAAAAGCTTTCCTTCACCTGGGGCCTGTCCAGATCATCTTTCCCTTCTTTTTCTACCTAAGCTCTTTCTTGCTCAGGTGAGGTTTACAGTTTCTCAAGATACAAATAAATAAATGAATTTGAATCAAATCGTTGAATCAGACCAAGCCCAAGCAACCCTTTGTGCTTTACTTCATGGCAAGAAGCCATTTATGATGCAAAAAGAGAGACATAGTCAACCTCAGATCTACAAGTTTGGCCCAGCATCCAAGTCAGAGCCTTCTTCATGTTTTCTCTCACCATCTGGTCCCTTTGGCAAAGTGACTGCATGCCCAGGCATGTACCCTGAGCTTATCTAGACAGACCAACTTTAAGCAGAGTCTGAACATGGCCATTCTGTTCCAGACCTTTATATTGTAGCTACTCAAAGAGTTCAATCCATGCACGAATACCCTACTTCTAGGTGTAGGACTATATCTATTCCCTTCTTTCTAAACCAGGATTCTAAATACTTAAAGCTTAGTAACCTAAATGCTCAAAGATGAGCCAGACGTTGCCTTAAATGACTCAGAGCGACTTGTAACTGAAACATTTAACCCTGCATTTCAAAAGGAACCCTTGTTAACTCAAAGGGATCTTTAAAATCCCCAAAAGGACTTCTGCCCCTTACCTAGCCAAGACGTGTGCTGGTGCCTCTTATAACCAAAGAATAAACAAGTAGATTTATATGCTCGTGCCATCTAAGGCTCTCTTAGACCCCAATTCTCCTGGCCGCCCTGTAATCTAAAGAAGTGTGTCAAAGCAATAAACATTGCTAGTGAGCAGGTCTCCAGCTGAAGTTCCTTAGTAGTTGTTGGTTAAAAAAGGAGAGCCTTCTTGACTGGAAATTCAAGATAACTCTCCTGGAATCGCTACTAACAAAACCAAACAGACTCCCCAGATCCAGACCCACGTATAGCACCCCAAGATGGCCTGACTTAGCTAGGCAAACACAAAACTCCTGGGTTTAACATGACTTAGTATCTTGGCTGGCAGTCTAAGCATATTTACACCTACACAGACATGTAAATGCAAACACAATTTAAGACATACACAGAGAGTGTCAACATAAGAGAATCTTCCATCTGAGACTCAACTGACAACCAGGGAGGCTACAAGAATCTAACCTAGGTCCTCTGTATGTAAGTTATACTTGTATAGCTTTGGTGTTTTTATGGGAATCCTAACAGAGAGAGTAGGGTGTTGTCTCTGACTGTTTTGCCTGCTTTGGGGGCCCTTTTACTCCTACTGGATTTCCTAGTCCAGCCTTAATATGAGGGAGGTCCCTAGTCTTACTGCAACTTGATATGCTGTGTTTGGTTGATATCTCTGGGAGGCCTGCCCTTTTCTGAAAGGAGATGGAGGAGGAGTGGATGGGAAGGGAAGAGGTAGGGAAGATGGAGGCGGTAGGGGGGTGGAGGGAGGGAGAGAGGGGAAACTACCACCGCGATGTAATGTGTGAATAATTTAATAAATTATTATCATTCTATTTAATTATAGTTATATACAATTAATATAATTTAATAGAATAATTTTTTAAATTCAATGGAAAAAATAAAAATAGCGACTTTCAGTGATCATCATATTTGAGTCTGGCCAGATCCCTGCAGCAACCTTCCTCAGAGGCATGGAAGAACATAATGGGCCAGACAAGGGCTTTCATTGGCTTGCCCACTCGAATCTTCTCTGAAAGCTCTGTGTCCTTGAATGGTTGTTCTTCTCTTCTCACTGTTATAATGTGGGGGTTCTGAATGAAGGGCTTTGTACAGGTGTGAATAACAGTTGTCTCCTGAAGAAGCTCGTCAGGGAGGCCCTCTGTAAACATGGGCTTGGTACCATGAGAAGGATGGGCAGACCTTGCAGCACCTTTGGCTTGGATACACTTGCATCTGAAGGAACATCCTCGCTGACAGCCTCTCTGTGCCTGTCCATTCTCAGATTGCCTTGAAGTGTGCTGACATTTGCAATCCTTGTCGAATCTGGGAGATGAGCAAGCAGTGGAGTGAAAGGGTCTGTGAAGAATTCTACAGGCAAGGTTGGTGGATCTCACAGACGAGGGTTCATCCCCTTCTCCTTTTGGGTGGTTCTCCTAACAAAACAGGAATGACTAAACTGTCACGACATCTGTTCTTCTATCAGCTCTAATTATCCTAACCCTCTCCTTTAACTGCCTTGTGAATCATCCAACCCTTCCGTGGGGAAGAAAGAGTTAAATAAATATAATAAATATCACAGACTTACTATGCAAACAGGTAATAAGCACACACTGCAATGAGAAAACAAGCTGCACATGCACACACAGACACAGACAGCCATATATGTATATACATATATAGTCACATATTTGCACATGAAAACATATATATGTTCATATATTTTTTATATATCTTTCCCCTGTGGCTGTAACAGTATGGTAGGCAGTTTGATTTTTGCCCTGACTTTCATTTTAATGAACTGAGCACAGCCTGAAGGCTAAGCATTGTTTGGAAGTCAATGTCTTCCATTCTGAGAGAATAATTCAGAGCCTTTTGTATGCCTTTTTCTCAGGTACTTAAAACGTCCAATGATGTAGGTCAAAGTTAGCCAAGAACTAACAACAGTTTACAGGAGATAGACCGTTCAAATAGTTTCAACAATAATACATGTGGGTTTTTCTGTGAAATGCTGAATGGTCCTAAGGTAGACCACAATTTTTCAAAGATTACCTTCCTTCACAAGGAAGGCAGTAAATCAGCAAGCAGAGTCTTGACACTGGACGAGAAGTAGGCCTTTAAACACAGGCTTGATTCTTCAGGTTGAATTTCAACATTCAGGATGTTTGCTCAGGCACACAGTGCCCTCGTGCTAGTGACAGGATCAGGTTTAAGAGGCTGGGAACAAACAAAGCTTGAAGTGTCCCACATACCAGCTCAGTGGGGAGGTCAGACAGCAACAGTGAGCCTTTTGGAAAAACGTCCACTGAAAGATCTGTCAATGACATCTCAGTGGTTCCAACGACAGAGGACAGAATAGGGCTGGGTTCACACAGGGCCAGAGGCTCTGCTCACTGTCACAGTCCAGGAGTAGGAGTGCCCCTGTGTCTCCTATCCCTCTGGAATTTCATGTGCACTCGATATGAGTCATGAGAAGTTAGAACATCAGTTCTCTTTGGCCAAGATATAAAGTGTCCACTGAGATCAGAACAACAGTAAATATGATGAAGTCAGAGCAGAGAGGGTTTAAAGTTAGGGTGAGTGCTTCTTCCCTGTGTGATACATAAGCTATTGAAACAGCACTGGAGAGAAGGCTAGGGCTTCAGTATTGAAGATCAAGATTTTTCTCTGTTCCACTTGCTTTTGATTCCATCATGGGCTATGGTTGGTGTCCATTGTGATTTAGAGCTTTTATCTGCTCATCTGACACTTTATTCAGACACTAATCGACTTGGGACAGTGGTCACACCACTTGGACAGACAGAGATCAGGAATCAAAGTTGTTAACTACAGGAATTAATGGCATTGAGCAATAAGGTTACTATAATGTTTCCCTGGTGAGATGCGTGTACATAGCACAGTAACACAGAAAGACCCAGAATGTTTGCCACTGCAGACACTAGGGAGCCTTAACCCACACTGTGGATCTCCCAGCAGACAAAGGAAACAGAGAACAGACTCATTCCTTTTCAGTTAAGGGTCCTGCGGTCCAGATGTCCTGTCTGCTTTGAGACTAGACTCTCAAAGTTCGTCTGAACTATCTTTCTTCCATATTGAATGTCTTTTAACTCTATAGGAATTACTCCTGTCATCTTGATGAGCTCTATCTAGTTCAGTTATGGATTTGGAATCAAATGCCAACTCATACCCCAGTAGCCAGGCTTCTATCAACAGTTCTTAATTGTCTCTTCTGCTGCTGTGCTGCTGCTGCTGCTGCTGCTGATGATGATGATGATGATGATGATGATGATGTTGTGAAACAGAGTCTTGATATTTAAGAGAGGCTGGTCTCAAACTCATACTCCTGCCTCTGACTCTAGAATGTGAGGTTGCAAGCATGGGCCACTATGCCCAGTTAGGACAAACATGATGAATTACATTAAACAAACAATTCCTTTAGGTTGAGGTTTCAGATACAGGGTGGAGGAGGAAAATGGCAGCCTATGAATCAAAAATGCTGTCAGATCCTCAGGATCAGGAGATGAGGTTCCCCTCCTCTCCAGCCTTCAACCCTTTAAGAAAGTTCTTTGTAAATATGGGTTTACATCTCCACAATTAACCTAGTTTTTCAAGAAGTTTTTATTAAATATCCACCTTTATCTTTGTCTAATCCTCAGTAAAACATATTTTTATATGAGTAATTCCACACCGGATGTTTTAATTGCCATGAAGAAATATGGCTGCTTCCATTGTACTAGCCCAGATGCTACTCTGCAGCACTCCGGGAGGAGAGACTGTCTGGTTTTCCTCTTTGTACTTTCTACATTGCTTAGTAGAATTCCTGAAGACAACACATTTCACACTTGTCTGGTGAGTAAGAGAAAGAATAAAGAACCTCGCAGGAAGACAGGCAGTGGGAGAGACCTGTAATGGAAGGCTCGTGAGTAAGAGAAAGAATAAAGAACCTCGCAGGAAGACAGGCAGTGGGAGAGACCTGTAAGGGAAGGCTCACTGCTCTCCAGTTTCTAATATGGTATCTCTGAGGCTCATGTGGCTAACTAAATTTTCACTAATTATAACGTAAAAAGAAATTAAAATTTTAGTTCCTAGTGTGTTGGACATGCTTCAGAGAGTTCCCATAAAGTTTTCTATCACTGAAAATGACAAAAGTATCTGCCACCAAGACTGACAACCCAAGTTCAATCCCCAGATTTGACATGGTGAGAATAGTCTCCTCCTACTGGTTGTCCCCTACCTACCTACCTACACACACACACACACACACACACACACACACACACACACACG